TACTGCAAAGCCTACGAGCTAGAACGCTGTGGGTAGACTTCATCGTTCCAGGGCTGGAAAAGCTAGGAGTTTGTTTTTGAGTGATCCAGTAAATAGACGAATCTAACGAGATCTCTGACCTGAGATTGAGGGATATATTTTAAGTTACGAACTTGTTGGGTCCTGTTGTCCGTTGACTACTGCATAGACTGCTCGTCAAGTGTACCTGACCCCATCCCCCACTTCAGTCGCTCCGGATATTCCCTACAGCGGGGTTGCAGAAAACGCAACACAAGACAGAAGATCGTAGAAAGTATGGAAGGACCGAAACTAACCGTGACAAGTCACAAGTCAATTATCTACATGGTGGCAATGGCAACTGGCTAGGGAAATCTCCGGGGTACGTACTGAGAATGAGGGCAGACCAGGTAACCAACGTTACGACTGATTTCCTTGCAGCAAACATACCTCCTAGATTAACAAGCTAAACTCGCCATTCATCAGGATGGATTGGAGCACGAGTCTGTTGTCCACGCCGGTAAAACTAGGCAAGTTATTCAGGAACCAAGTAAGATACCATACCATGTTCGAGGCGTGGGCGTTCGTCACATCCCACTTTGGCATTGGAAATTTCAAACTTTTCCATATCGGTCCTGTCATGCAGTAGATCGATAGTGCCAGGAGTTGCATTTGCCGATTAGGCGCTGGAGTGGGAGTCTTCTCGCAGCTCACAGCAGTCTATCTCTGAGATAATATATTTATTCGGGCAGTAATGGAAGCCTGATGATGACGGTTGTTTACCCCTCTTTGATACGGTTCTCCTTGGGGGCAGGTGAGTATGTGCGTGATTCTTCAGTATCACAATCCCTCCTAGAGGAGGATTGTTTTGAAGATAGCACAGATGGGGAGTTCGCCTTCTCCACTGTCTGAGTGAAACTCACAGGCCCTTCAATAATTATGGTTCGTTCTGTTTATTCCCTGCAAATTGCGGATTCGAAATGCCTTCTATATGCCTGAGGCTGCTATATATTCCAGTAGATGATGTACTTCCCTCGAGTGCGTTAAGATCGACAGTATGAAAATTCTAGAAATTTGGATAGTTTTTTGGCGCAGGCCACTTTGCATCTGATCATTGATAAATTTTGCCAAACTTACCTACTCCGTACTCTATGCACTTCCACGAATCCATCTATCCAGTCCAACCAGTATCAAGCATAGCCCAGGTAGTAGTAGGCAGAAGCAGGGTCGACGCAACATCTCCTTTGGGGTCATTTCTAGGCACCCCAAGAAGGCATATGATGTGAGAATGAGTCAGATGAAGGAGTCCTTGGACTCAATCCCTCGTTGGCTGGTCACATACAAGCCTCTGGGTTTCTGTGTTGGTTATACGGCATATGCTTAGGCTCGGGGAGGCTACGCAGAAAGGTACAATGTAGATAAGTACGGAGTACCAACTATCCGGCATGTAAGTATCTCGGATGCCCAGGCACTTGACAAAATTGGAGAATCGAGAGAGTGGCTAGTGCTGCCTTCGTTACTCCCGCTGATGATGCATGTTATTGGTTTGTTGGCTGAGGAACGGAAGTGGAATGCAGCGACTGTCCTATTCCCTTCTACCAACATCAGCAGTAGTACGAGGAGGTCCAAAGCTCTAAGTTGAGTCAAAGCATAATATCCGATAGGATGGGTCTTTCTGGGTTCTGTAGCCTGATATTTGGGTGGACGCACTGGTGTCATGCCTGATTCACGTTGAGGCTGATCACAGTACTGTAAGAGTACTCTCGCTGTTGCCACCTTGGTGCAATGGTGTCATACCTAAGACAGACATCCAATTGGCTTTTATCTTGTCATCTTGATGGTACTTCCAAATCAAGGATGATTGTAACTGGTTTCTTCTCTTTCATGCGCTCTGGGAAGACTTCCTTGCCTTTTATGGAATATCAACAAAAAGCACCCACCTGCCAATGCTACAAGCCCGGCTACACTCAATTCTGCACTCGGTCACCGCCGACATTTGGCCATCAGCGATCCCCTTCCTGAATTAGCCTAGTCTGTAACTGGACTGTACCACTGAGACACGTTTTTTATTTTAGCACGGGGAATGCGGTGCACGAACCAGTCGATTCTAGGCAATCTGGCCGTTTTGAGTTCGAGGCGAGTCTTTTATTATTAGCACTAAGGCTCTGAGACTAAACATTACTGGTGACTTTTACCCTGACTATGCACCTCAGAGGGGTATGGCCCCCTACGGGAGTGTCTCCATGACTGGTCTGTGTGTGACAACGACTTTGCATCACTGTTCTCACTTCCAGTGCTGCTACTGGCAGCCTGCATCAAGCACCGCCTTCAGTTTCTGCTGCTTGTCTCATTGCTGGACCTTGGTTTTTAGGATCACAATGATGACGCTGATGATGGGGTACCTGCAATCATCGATGGCTAACATTATGACGAGCACTATTGCCTTACCTCGACCTTTTCGAATAAGATGGAAAAGAAATTATTCACATCTTGATATTAGTCATGCTGCACATTGCGTTCTCTTTCTGGCCAATTTCCGTACCACTACCAGCCAAGTACCTTACTGCTTACGTACCAGCAGACAGGACACTCGAGGAAAATAGGAATCAACCAGAAACGCCAACGTAACCCAGTAACCTAACTTTGCAAGGGGTTAGGGCAACCCTGTGAGCCCACCACCTGGGCCTTTTACCTTAGTTTTAGCACCGGTGTGACCCATCCAGGTGGCTCTTGATGCCCCGTTTCGAGGCTTCTAAGCCCCGAACATCTGCACACAGCACAGTGTTATTAACACATGGAATTTATTTTAATTGATAGCAAGGGTGATCAGGGACATTGCGGCACTCTCAATTACATCAAATGACACTTTATTAAAATAATATATGTGAAGCAGAATTTATTGTCGAACAGTAACTGTACTACTTACAGTCATCCTGGTATGTGTGCTACTGCTCTTTTTTCCTTCCAAGTCGCCGGTTGAATCTCGACCTTAAGTCGAAGACATCCATGGATTGTCTCACTGCCTCTAGGTGATTTTCTGGTAGGCCATCTAGAATTTTTCTGCAGTACGGAGTCGTACGAGTAACACAGTACCTACCACACGCCGAGGAAAAGGTTTTCTGTTTTTTGATTACCTCTTACTCTGTTCTGTACTTGACCTCACATTGATCATCCAGCAGATTCAATAGGACGATCGGAGGTTACGTTTATGAATTATCTCTTACAAGCGCCTTTTCTATTGGATGGTTACTATGATCCAAATTGCACTCTGTGTAACTGAAGTTGAGAAGAAAACTCTAAAGCGATTGAAGGACCCCTTTCCACAGGACCGTTTTACTGCTGGAAGGACTCCGTGGTATTCCTTTTTCTCCCGCCTTCCCAGCAGCCAGAACACCCTTTTCATTTGGTCTGGTGTCTGGGTGGGTGTGGAGGCATGCGTATTATTAATAATCTGCATTAAATTTCTGCTACCATTTTATTATGTTTTTTGATTATTATTTCTTACTTCATTACCCTTTTTTTTTTTTTTTGACCATTTTTCTACTCTCAGTAGTCAGAGTGTTCCTCCTGACTTTGCCGGCCAACACCCTCCGACCTCCCGGAGTTCACCATTGCCTTAGTAGAAATACTGTAATTATATGACCAGAAACACACACTCAACCTGTTCCGGCCCCAAGTCCTCTGTCACTGGAGTCACAGAATCACAGATTGGCGAAAGAAAAGAAACTGGGATACTGGGGAAAATCACAGAAATGGCTTGACCCGCGCAGAAGAAATTAAATCAAACAGGAACCCAGAGAGAATCATCATCCATGTTCCATAATAATAATAATAATAGGCATGATCCATTCTTCTGCCAGGCTACGGAGTACTGTTGGTGTTGATAATTATTCATTATTAACAGAAAAAGAAAAAAGAAACAAAATGGAAGAAAACAAGAATAATAAAAATAAAATAAGTTTACTACGGTACTATGACTATCATCTCAACATCGAACTCCTCAACATGACTCCGCTACGTCGTCTCGACTAAACTCCATCCATCCATCCAGCCACTACGCTCTCTCTCTTCCGCTCTACCGCTTTACGCCCTACACCACTACTCCGTACTCTTGCTACTACTACTGCCCTTTGCCCCATCCTTCTCTTCCTCTCTCTCTCCATCCCCTTCCCTCTTTCGCCTCTCTATCCTCCGTCCTCTCAACTCTCTGTTCTTGTTCAGTCCTCGCCTGTGAAATTTCCTGTCTCATCTCTCTCATCTCCTCCTGTCATTTTCTCTCAACGAGCTTTTCACTAAGTGTCGTTGTCATCGTGGTCCGGGGCTTTTCACTGGCGCGAGGGAAAGAAAATTAATTTTTCTCTTCCGATCCCCTACAGTTTCCGCCGTCGTTCTTCCCCCCAGCCTTCCTGGCTCCACGAACCCCCTCTCCCTTACTCTTGTCTCCATCTACTATTAACTGTCCTTGAGGCACGTTCCGCGTCGTTTGGTGACCATCTGCTGTTTTTTCTTCAAATCCAAAAAAAGCACCGTGTGCCTGTTGGGTGTCTCGTGCCGGACCAGTAGCTCTACTTGGAAAGCAACTACCGCGAGGGAATAACACAAATCTCGCCGCGCGAAAGGATCCGGCAGTCAAGGAAGCCAAACACAAAACACGCCCTTCACGATCGCTGTTTTTCCCTGCTCCTTATCTCGTGCTCTCTGTGGACCTTTCATCTTCTAATTTAGTTGGATTTTCTCTCCATGTCATTCAACTAAGAAAATCTCACCACGGCAAACACAGAGCTGCGGCTCGCTGAGCATCGCTCTCCCCAGGATCAGGGCCTGGCGGACGTGTAGACGGTTCGTATCTGGCCTCCTTTCTCTATACTGACACTATCCCGCGTTTGCTTCGCTCTTCACATCTCTGGAGAGTCTTTACTGACCGTTATTTCTTCCTATAGCGTTTGATCGTCTACCCTCGCCGTCCTGGACTGGTCTCTTTTCTTTCTTCTCTCATAACCGCTATGCCGTCTTTCTTCGCCGCTGGCCTCCAGGGCCTTCCTCCCACTCCTCCTCACGTCCTGCCCGGTGGCAGGATGGAAAATGAGCAGCCTTTTTACATCGTCAACAACTCTGCCTTTCCTCCCCGCTATACGCAGAATGGTTGCGAATTCATCGAGCAGTACTCTCAATCCGCCCACTACTCAAAGCCGGCTCCGATGAACTTACACCCAGCATCCGCCCACCATATGCACAATGGTAGAGATTTGACCTCTGCTCACCCCGCGTTGAACCAATCGTTCGGCGCCCTGCCCACCACAAACGTGCTGCCTCCGCTCCGTACCGGCCTACAGCTGCCCCCGATGGAGAGTGCCATTCCACCGCAGTATCGCCGCCAAGATATGATGATGCAGCCCGAACAGCAGCAACGCAAAGAGGAGAAGGCCACCGGAGGTGTAGCCGCCCTTTTGGATTATGAGATGGAACAGATGTCCGACTTTGTGGCCGAGATGGCTCAGGGAATGTATGCTTTGTACATCACCAAGATCAACATAGCAGATATTGACTTCGCGCGAAGCGTCTACCCAGGAACATCGGTCCCTCCCCAGTTTCGGAAATACGTCTACCAGATCCTTTCTTCGACCCGCCTTCCCAGCTCCACGATCCTCTTGGGTCTCTACTACTTGGCCAGCCGAATGCGGATGCTTTCCTCGGCCAAAGTGTACACCTCTGGCAGTGGACAGGTTTATCGCATGCTGACTGTTGCCCTACTCCTGGGAAGCAAGTTTCTGGATGACAACACCTTCCAGAACAAGTCTTGGGCCGAAGTCAGCAACATCCCGGTCGGCGAATTGAACTCCATGGAACTGGAGTGGCTCTTCGCATTCGAGTGGAAGCTCCACGAGCGCATCCATGACAAGCAGGACGGCTTCGCATCATGGCTCTCCCACTGGGAGACCTGGCGTGCAAAGGCTGTTGCTAGAGCCCAGGAGTCGCGTCACACCCTTGCCCCCATTGATACTAATGTCTCGCGGGGCCACATGGTGTCCAAGCCTCTATTGTCTCCCGAGGGACCGATCCCTCCGCAGTATCAGCGAAGCTCTCATTACGAGAACTCCTGGCTCAACCCCGCCGCGTCTGAGTACTCGCCTCCTTCTGCTCCCCATAGCGGCCCGAACACTCCGGACTACTACGCTGTCGGACCTTGGGCGTATGCCAACCCCCCGCCGCCATACACACGAACTTGGATTCCTCCTCCGCAGCAGTACATGCCTCAGTCTGTGCCTCGGTCGCAGCCTCCGTCTTACCATCATACGCCGTCCTACGCGTTACCATTTGCGCAAAGCGTGTGGACGGGACACGGTTCGTCCTGCGGATGCTTGTACTGTGCCAAGCATGTCGAACACTACATGTGTGCAAATGCTTTCGGTCCAATGCAGGCTATGGTTGCCTAGATAGATGGCCCCTTGGTCTCCCATGGCTGTCGTCCTTTTTCTCGCGGTCGGCCCAACGCCTTTCTAGATTTCTCCGGTCAATGACTTCTTGGTTTTCCTTTTTCCGTTCCTTTATTTTCAAACATTTTCTGATCAATTTTTGATGATACCGTCTCCATCTGCGATGACAACATGCCCTATTCCCATATTCAGTTTCCGTTGTTTTGCATTTGTCGGAAAAGTACCTGTGCCCATCCACCGTCATTGTTCCATGTCGGAAAAGTGAAAAGCAACCAAAAAAAGTTTTTCCCACGAGCGATATTGGAACAACTCTGTTCATCCTCATCTACGATACAGAGTTTTTCTGTGCATTTACGATACGGCATAATCTCTTCATCTCAGCTTGGCTTCATACTTTGTTTCATCGCCTGTGAAGAGTGATTGCTCATCGTGTCGCATATTACTCCATTGATTCAATCATCTTCTGGTCTTTGGAGTAAGGCAGGTCACGACGATCATGATTTTGTTGTCCATTTCTATGGTTCCGTTTTATCAGCCTCTTTTTTTTTCTTTTTCTTCTTTTTGCCTCTTTATGCTTGTCGTGTTCTCTGGGCTTCAGCATTCCTCCTGGCGGTTGTCATCTATAGATCGCTTTCTTCATTTCCATTGGTTCGGTACATTTTCTTTCATTTCATCGCCGGCTACACTCGTTGTTACGAGCAATGGCGTTAATATTTCTGCATCCTGGATTTGACCCCATTCTACTCCTGCATTTGTCCATCTCGGTTGAGGAACATATTCTGTTTTCTTGTGCTTTGATCAGACCCACCGGGATACAGTTCGATTCTGCAGCTTTTTCTGACTGCCCTCTTACGGATCGAGGACCTGGTGGTTGTAGTCTATCTTCGCTACTTCTATTCGACGATTGTTTCCAATGCTCCCTGTCTTACATACTCATGTTCAAATGTCGTCGATCAGACATGAAAAAAAGCAATACTCCCCTTTCAAATCCCGTTTGATCTGGTTTTTTTTTTTTGTCCCCTCTCTCGTTCACAACGAAGTGGCATGGTCTTTTTTCCTTTTCGACCTCACCATTTGCCCATTCAATGTAAGTTAGACAACCATATTTTTAAGACCGTTCGCGCTGCGAAAGGTCCCCAAACAAAATTGAAACTGCGGAAAAAGAGACAAGACAATTGATTTCTTCTTTCCGGGACGAGAAGTATATATTTTCGCCCCCGCTTCTTCGCATATACTCGTTCTGCAAGTGCTATAGATAATTTGTGTAAACCATTATCAGAGGCTCCGTGTTGAATCTGCCGTGCCTTGCTTCCTTGGTCTCGAATTCATGGAACGTGATGAACTCCATTGCGGACTGATCTTGAGATTGAGCTCTCAGGGGTACCTGCCTTAATCAGTCGCTGTACCAGCTGACGGATATGATATACTGGGTAAATCTACGTCTATATTCGCCATACCACTGAAGAAAGGAGCGGGGTAGTACTGCGAGCGTTCCTTTTTATTTTCGCTCGATGGATAAACGCATCATTCTCATGCTATGCTTCTTTTCAAGGTATCAACATGGAAACTATCGTGAGATATCATAATCGGGGGTTAGGTTAGATTAGGGGAGTGCATACGGTCATATGAAATACGTGTTTGAGCGTGTGCATGTGCAAAAGGTCGAATAGGGAGATAATGATGGACGATGAATGCATAGAGATTCGATCAATAGACACTCCCTCTGATACTCTGGTCACGCTGCCGTTCGGTTTCAAGCTCGGCATCGACGTCATCCTCGTCATCTGCGCCATTGTTGTTGTTGTTGTCGTTGTCGTCGTCGTCGTCGTCGTCGTTCCAATGTACTTGGGCTTGCTGGGATTCGTTCTCGAGGTGTGCGTGTTTGATATGGTTTTCTTGTTGAGCGGGTGGTTCGGCAGGGATGTATGTGGTGTCGTGCGACTTGTCCCTGTCCCCGATGTGCATTGCTCCCCTTTTGGAGTTGCCGTGGTTTACCGAGCCTGAGTGGTAAGTGTGGTTGTGGCTGTTGTGGTTGTGCTTATGGTGTGAGCGCGTCCGTTTCGGTCGTTGGACCTGCTTGGTGTGGCTTTCGTCGTCGCCGTCGTCGGCGAAATCATGCGATGGGACCGGCTTGTGTTGGTCCAGTCGGTCACCGGAGAAACCTGCGTCTTCGCGCTCGTCCTCGGAAGGGGTGACGCTGTTTGCGCCACTCAGGGAGCCGCCGCCGTCGCGGCCGCCGAGGTGGTGGAGAGCGTAGTTTGACCTTGGTGGGTGGAGGAGATGGTCCTCGCTGTCGCGGTGAAACTTGGCTAGGTCGGGCCGCCTGGGTATCGTGTTTGGGCTCGAAGCAGCCCTCGGATGAGGGCTTGCCATTTTGGATGTTTGAGTATTGCGGTCGATGTTGGCATCAAAGTCTGTGGGGAGAACTGTGGGTTGCGAAGTAGCTTCAACGTCCCGTTTCGAGTGATCGTCAGAGGGGGCAACAGTCTGGTCCGTCGGTCTAATGTCTGAGCAACGGTCTCCTAGTGCTGGCTCAGGGGCTGTGATGTATTGCTGATCGACCTGTGTTTGCGTTATCAGTGTCATCCTCCTGCGACTCGGCCAAGCTTGGTTTCGACCTAGGGATAACTCACATTACTTCTCGTGGAAGGTTGCGCCTCGCTCCCAACACGCGTCGGGTCACCACCAGTTATCCGTGAAGATCTTAAAGATCTTTTTCTGTGGAGACCGTGGTTACAGCCGTCGGGACATCCACCCCATTTGCGTCTAATCGGGACAGAAGAGGGGGCAGGGGCGAGAGAAGCAGCCAAACTGAGGTCTTTGCTCGCTCGCTCCCGTTGTCTCTCATTTTCCTTCTCTTTCCTCAGCTCGGACCATGTACGCAGCTTGTTCTGAAGCACATATTTCCCATTGTCCGGGTTGAGCTTCATGATTACGAACTCGCAGTGATTGATGTTGCGTAGGTCTTCGAAATATTCAACACTCCAGTGATACCATTTCATCAGAAAGACCCTCGTCATGAGGCCATGGGTCACCAGTACGCAGACACTGGCAAAATCATCCTCCCCGAACAGTCGCCAAAGCGACTCGTTGAAGCCGCTGATCCGGTCATAGGCATCCGCAGCAGATTCACCATTCGGGATTCGATAGAAAAAATGTCCGTAGTCCGCCCTTTCCAGCCACATCCGTTCCATCTCCGCAGAGCATGGCTGAAAATTGCCAAAGTCCTGCTCTCGCAACCGTGGTTCTTCATATACTTTAATGGTATGTCTGGGAAATGGCGACGGGGACGGAGAATCGGAGGTCAAAGACTCGAGGATCCCTTCCGTAGTCTCCCGAGTCCGACGGTAGGGAGAGGTAAAGAAGTGTATCGTGTCATCGGGCCGCAGAAGAGCGCGCAGCTTGCTACCTGCCTCCTTTGCTTGTCGATATCCTTCGGGTGTGAGCTGGACCCGATGATCAGGGATCGTTTGGTGGATTTCCCGATTTTTGTTTCCTTCTGACTGCGCATGACGGATCAAGATGATCATCTATTGACTGAGTGAGACGCTGGGGTGTCAGACATAGAATGCGACCGAGGAAAAGCTAACCCGCGGTTTACCCATGGTTGATACAACATCGGTTGATGTTGGGAGGAGAGCGGAGGAAAAAATGACTGTGCTGGAGTTAGGTCGCAGTCAGGCAATGAAGGGTTATCGGATCATACTCCCGCAAGTGGTTCTGTTTGGGAGCTCTTCTGTCTAGTCAGAGCAACTGTGATCTGTACAGTAGAACGCCAAAGAGCAGCAAGTGATGATTTCTGAGACTAGAGCGGCGGCAGTACCTGAGTATCCCTCAATTTGGCTAGTGTATCGGATGTGAGATGTTGAAGTTGCAAACAAGCCCTGGCCAGTAGGTGATATAGCAATATATAGAGGTCTCTATATTCATTGGAATGGGCTCTATGATAGAGAGACAAAGATTGACCCAGATAAAACTGCCTTGGCTATGCTGAGGCGCTGGAGGAGGATGGGATGGACTGGCGTAGGCGTCAAGGAGGAAATGCCTCGGAGATGCGCTTGTTGCCGCAACGGCTGCCGTACCGCATCACCACTAGGTAAGAAGGTATTGGAGACTTCGTCGCATCAGCTTCTACTCAGTTCTCCTCCCACCATTGGTCAGCTGTACTTTGTTTCATCAACTGCTTCCTCCTTTTACAGGAGAGAATAGCCACGACATACACCATGACTGACTATCTTTACGACTTGTTAGCTCCTCATTTCTCTCCAGCAGATGCTGCCTCAATACCGTTGGCTCCAGATAATGACACAACTACGGCTCAGTACTTGAACCGACTATCAACGCTGTCCCTCGAGGCTCTGGAAACGACAGAACCGCAATCTCTGGCGCAATCCTTACATTCTACCCTGCTGTCTCTCCAGGCCTTATCGAATCGCTCGCACAAGGCCTTCATCACTTCTGCCGATAACCTCTCACAGCTCCGTACCTCAATTCCCCAATTGACCCGCAATGCACAAAATCTAAGAGACGCAATCCCCAAACTTGACGAAGAGGCGGTCCGATTCTCTACCAAGTACAGCCGAGCCGCAGAGAATCCGTCTCTGGAGCGGCGAAAGAAGGTCATGCAGCTGGCGAGGAATGTCGATCGACTATCCGACATTCTAGAACTTCCCTCTCTTCTATCGACAGCTGTCTCATCGGCAGCAGCAAGCTCTGTTGCCGCGGGCGGCACCTCGTTTTCTACGACCTACTCATCTGCTTTGGATTTATACGCCCACATCAAGCGATTACAGACACTGTACCCTGATTCTCCCCTCGTCAAGGATGTCGCCTCTCAGGCCGAGGATGCGATGAAGGAGATGACAACGAATCTGATAGCGGGGCTCCGTTCGCAGAATCTTCGGTTGGCAGCGGCTATGAGAATGGTAGGCTGGCTACGTCGAGTGGCTCCGGAATTGGAGGGCTTGCACAGTGACGGCGGAACGGGCACCGGGGAAGGC